ATTACTGAGACCTAGAAGAGGATTTGAGTAAATTTTTAATATATACTTTTAAAAAATAAAATCATCATTGTTAAATCAATATGAGTTCTCTTTAATCTTCAGATTTATTGAAATCTCAGATATTCTAAATATGCCTTTTAGAATAAGGCAGTTTTGTTCAAGCTGAGTGTAGAAGACATTTGGAAAATAAAAATATATATAATATCCAAGAAAAAAAAATGAAAAAATACTGTGTGTTATGCTCCAAGTTTTAGAAAGAATAACATTTATTTAATATTTGTATAACTTCAAGGAAAAAATATCCTTTTACAAAAAATTGCCAGTCAGCATATACACCATAGAATTGACATGTAATTACCTTTATGCCTTCACTGTAAACTTTATTTTTTAAAAAGATTTATCATATTAAGTATCTTAAAAATGAAGAAGAAGGAGACTGCTGTGATTACCAGCAGGACCTCTAGAAATGTTAAGGCTTCCTGTTAGGGCTAGGGTGATTCTCATCTTTTTCTTGGTTGTGTCTGATAGGAACAAAAATTTAATGACACAAACTAAATTTATGTTTTTTGACAGTCCCCTTTGTTCCTTGCTCCAAATAGGGAATTCTTGGCATATGTACATGTAAAGAGCATCAATATTTTAGGAAAATAGACTTTGTTATAAAGCACTGATTCATCATTGTATGCAGTTAGAAATTAACCCATATTTACTTTTGTTACTTGTTTTACAGTTTCTGTCAGGTCTTTTTTGATATGAAATTTATCCTCATACACTAGTTAGTGGGAAAGATGTTCTAATGGTAATTTACTAGAGGTAGTGAAAAATACAGTTGTTCTTTTTTTTTTTTTAATTTATTTATTTATTTTTTTTATCACAACCATAGTGTATCTTTTTTTTTTTTTTTTTTAACATGTATTCCCCATCCCGGTCCCCCCTCCCACCTCCCTCTCCACCCAATCCCTCTGGGTCTTCCCAGTGCACCAGGCCCGAGCACTTGTCTCATGCACCCAACCTGGGCTGGTGAACTGTTTCACCCTAGATAATATACGTGTTTCAATGCTGTTCTCTTGAAACATCCCACCCTCGCCTTCTCCCAGAGTCCACAAGTCTGTTCTATACATAGGAGTCTCTTTTTCTGTTTTGCACATAGGGTTATCGTTACCATCTTTCTAAATTCCATATATATGTGTTAGTATACTGTAATGGTCTTTATCTTTCTGGCTTACTTCGCTCTGTATAATGGGCTCCAGTTTCATCCATCTCATTAGAACTGATTCAAATGAATTCTTTTTAATGGCTGAGTAATATTCCATGGTGTATATGTACCACAGCTTCCTCATCCATTCGTCTGCTGATGGGCATCTAGGTTGCTTCCATGTCCTGGCTATTATAAACAGTGCTGCGATGAACATTGGGGTGCACGTGTCTCTTTCAGATCTGGTTTCCTCGGTGTGTATGCCCAGAAGTGGGATTGCTGGGTCATATGGCAGCTCTATTTCCAGCTTTTTAAGAAATCTCCACACTGTTTTCCATAGTGGCTGTACTAATTTGCATTCCCACCAACAGTGTAAGAGGGTTCCCTTTTCTCCACACCCTCTCCAGCATTTATTGCTTGTAGACTTTTGGATAGCAGCCATCCTGACTGGTGTGTAATGGTACCTCATTGTGGTTTTGATTTGCATTTCTCTGATAATGAGTGATGTTGAGCATCTTTTCATGTGTTTGTTAGCCATCTGTATGTCTTCCTTGGAGAAATGTCTGTTCAGTTCTTTGGCCCATTTTTTGATTGGGTCATTTATTTTTCTGGAGTTGAGCTGGAGGAGTTGCTTGTATATTTTTGAGATTAATCCTTTGTCTGTTGCTTCGTTTGCTATTATTTTCTCCCAATCTGAGGGCTGTCTTTTCACCTTGTTTATAGTTTCCTTTGTTGTGCAAAAGCTTTTAAGTTTCATTAGGTCCCATTTGTTTATTTTTGCTTTTATTTCTAAAATTCTGGGATGTGGGTCATAGAGGATCCTGCTGTGATTTATGTCGGAGAGTGTTTTGCCTATGTTCTCCTCTAGGAGTTTTATAGTTTCTGGTCTTACATTTAGATCTTTAATCCATCTTGAGTTTATTTTTGTGTATGGTGTTAGAAAGTGTTCTAGTTTCATTCTTTTACAGGTGGTTGACCAGTTTTCCCAGCACCACTTGTTAAAGAGGTTGTCTTTTTTCCATTGAATACAGTTGTTCTTGTTCCCTATTTTTTTAATGGTTCGTATTCCATGAAAAGTGAAAGTGTTAGTCACTCAGTCATGTCTGACTCTTTGCGACCTTATGGACCATAGCCTGCCAGGCTCTTCTATCCTAGGAATTCTCTAGGCAAGAGTACTGAAGTGGGTAGCCATTCCTTCTCCAGGGGATCTTCCTGGCCCAGGGATGGAACCCGGATCTCCTGCATTACAGGTGCATTCTTTACTGTCTGAGCCACCAAGGAAGCCCAATAAGGGTTATTTATTCCTGGAACATTTATTAAATGGTTACTGGGTGCCAGGCTTGCTTCTGAGTTTTTCACGTTTTTTTGGTCTCACTTAGTCCTCATAACAACCCTTTGAGGAAAATGCCACTTTACAGATGAGGTTCAAATTTGGCTATTTGTTGAGTTTACACAATTAGTTAAAAAAAGAGAAAAGAAAAATAATTTTTGGCTATGCCGAGAGTCTTACAGGAATCTTAGTTCCCTGATCAGGGATTGAACCTGGGCCAAGGCAGTGAAAGAACCAAGTCCTAACCACTGGACTTTCAGGGAATTCCCACACAATTAGTAAATTTTAAGGCCAGGATTTGAACTCATGATATCAGATTCTGCAGCCTGTTGACCAGTAAAAATATCTAAATCCAGTTTCATTTTGAGAGCTTAGTTCTTTGAAAAATTTTCAATCAAGTATGTATTAAATCAGGTTTCTTTTCCGCTTTTCTGCTTCTTTTCTGAGTAGAACAACAGGTCTTTATTGTTATGCAGGTTGACTTTGTGGACTTTGGGCTCTGCTTTGGGCTGCAGATCACCTGGTCTTGACAAAGGCTGTGGGATGGGCTCCCAGCTCCTCCAGGTTGTGTTCATTCAGGTGAATGGGCAGCAGCTTCCTGGGGCAAGCTCTTCACTTGCCCGATCACTGGAGTACAAGGACCAAGTCAAAGGGTGTGTTAAAATACAAAATTCAACTTGAGTACATTTTGAAGATCTTACTGGCTTTATTCCATGATTCATGAATCAGAGAACTTCCAGTCTAGCAGATATACAGGAACTTTGAGGAGCTATACCAAGTTAATTTTACATACAGAGGGAGTGGGGCAAGGAAGTTACAGTAGCCAAAAGCAGATTGGTTCTGGCCCGATTACTTTCCTTTAGGGGATGATAGGGTCTATTAGACAGATTACTTCACTAATGATCATCAGGTGATTTCTGCTTGACTAGTTTAATAGTCCAGTTCTAGGAGAGGCTGAAACTAATAAAGTCTCAGTTTGGTGACATGAGGCTTAGCATAAGTGACTCCATTTTGGGTCTGTTGTCTTGTTTTTAACAGATGTAAGCATTTTTCTCATGAAAAAGTATTGGGTTTTGTCAAGTGCTTTTTTTGCAGCTGTTGAAGATGGTCATATGAATTTGTTCTTTATTCTGTCCGTATTGTGTATTACATTAGTTTATTTTCAGATGTTAAATCAGTATTGCATTCCTGGGATAAATCCCACTTGGTAATGGTTTGTAACCATATATATATATTTTTTTTTTGTTTGTTTGTTTGTTTGTTTGTTTGCTTTTAAAAAGCAGTTTCAAGTTCACAGCAAAGTTGAGAGGAAGGTACAGAGGTTCTCCATATACCCCTTGCCTCCACATGTGCATAGCCTCCCCCATTATCAACATCCCCCATCAGAGTGGTACAGATGTTAAAATTGATGGTCCTATATTGACATATCATGATCACCCAATGTCCAATAGTTTACATTCAGACTCACTCTTGGTGTTGTACAATCTATGGATTTGGACAAATGTATGTACATGTATATATATGTGTGTGTATATATATGGGGGCTTCCCTGGTAGCTCGGTTGGTAAAGAATGGTGTGTGTGTATATATACATATCTACCTGCAATGCAGGAGACCAGGGTTTGATCCCTTGGTCCGGAATATCTCCTGGAGAGGGGAATGGCAACCCACTCCAGTATTCTTGTCTGGAAAATTCCCTTGACAGAGGAGCCTGGTGTGCTACAGTTTATGGGTCACCAAGGGTCAGAAATGACTGGGCAACTAACGTATACACACACATATGCATGTATCTATCATTATAGTATCATACAGAATTTTTTCCCTGACCTAAAAATCCTCTGTGCTCCGTCTACTCATTTCTTTCCTCTTCTCCAACCCCTGGTATCCACTAATCTTTTTACTATTTCTATAGTTTTGCCTTTTCCACAATGTCACGTAGTGGAATCATACTGTAGATAGCCTTTTCAGGTCAGCTTCTTTCACTTAGTTACATGCATTTAAGATTCCTCCATGTCTTTTCATGGCTTGATAGCACATTTCTTTTTAGCACTGAGTAATATTCCTTTATCTGGGTGTACCACCATTTATTTACCCATTTACCTTCTGTCTTTATTACTTCCCTACTATTCCCATGTCCTCTTTCTTATTAGATCACACAACTGCTTGGACAAGTTCTGAGCCTGTGAATCATATATGTGTCACCTCTGTCACAGCCCAGTGCAAATCGGTGACAACTGTTTTCAGCTCCCTGCAAAATAAATGATGAATTAATAAGTTTGCTGATTCCGTATAACACACTCCTACAGGGTATTTCTATTATGGTATATTTTCCCCCACAGTATAAATACAAAATTAAGTATTTATAAATTAGAAAACTTGATAAATGGTATCTGATCCCTGGATACTACTAAATGAGTTCTTGCATGTTTTGACGACAGTGTTTAGCTTTGATGACTTCAAATTGTGTTTTAACAGGAAACAGTGACATTTAAGGATGTGGCTGTGGACCTCACCCAGGAGGAATGGCAGCAAATGAAACCTGCTCAGAGGAACTTGTACCGTGATGTGATGCTGGAGAACTACAGCAACCTAGTCACAGTGGGTAAGGGTAGCTCTGCAGTCTTACACAGAATTCTGTCTTTGAAATATGTGAAGATTTCAACTTGCCATATGTCTTTAACTAGCATTTCCTTTCTTCATATGATTGTATGTGCTAGTCTTTAGAGTAAATGCTAATTATTTTGTGTCACTGTGAAAGTTCCTCCCTCATCTTTCATAGGCCCTCAAGTCCCCAGGACTCAACCCAAGATCTGGATGGTTGTCTCCAGCATTAACATTCAAGTCCTTTGCTCTCTCTCAAAATAGGTTGTCAAGTCACCAAACCAGATGTGATCTTCAAGTTGGAGCAGGAAGAGGAGCCATGGGTGGTAGAAGAAGAACTGCTTGGGAGGCACTGTTCAGGTGAATAAGTGAAAAGGCAGGTCTGAGTGAGAAAGCCACATAGCAGTTGTTCAGGAGGTTGATGCCATTTCACATTTTCCAAGATTTGCTTAAGTCTTCTAGAATGACAGAAGATATGAATGCCTTGAATTATGGTGACACTTCTACATACTATTCTTCTTATGTTGCAGCTCTTCCTTTTTTCAGATTTTAACTACTAAAACTTCCTAGCTCATTTACAGCCTTACTTTCAGGATTAGTGTCCCTTTCTATGTATGATCCTTAAGCTTTCTCATTCCTTTGTATTCACAGGTTTTCTTTTTTTGTGTGTTCACTATTTGAATTAAATTTCCTTTCATTTCTTTTCTTCATTCTATTTTGAAAAGCTTCAGATTTCTTTTGTAACAATAACTCACACTTCCTGTTGTACTTCACAACTCTCACAATATAGCTTTGAAAGTCTCTGACTTACAACTTGTTATCTCCTCCTTGCTTATTCACACCTTTCATTCCTTTAATTTTTTTGAAATATAATATATGCACCCTTGGTTGAAAAATATTAGCAGTCCAAAAGGTAAGTCTCTCTCTTACCCTTCACACTCAGTCCCTTTCTTTTCCAAGTTAAGTACACTTTTTTTTCAGAGTTGTGCTGACTATTCGTATTTATTTCACCATATGAATTTTATTTTTTAATCTATTTTTTTGTTTATTTGTTTTTTATTTTAAGGTGGAAGAGTTTATTAAAGGAATTATGGAATTTTTTTTTTTTGTCTGTGCTGGGTCTTTGTTGTTATGTGGGTTTTCCTCTAATTTCAGCGAGCAGGGGCTTGCTTCTCTTCTTTGGTGTACACGGGCTTCTCATTGTGGTGGCTTCTCTTGTTGCAGAGCATGGGCTCTAGGGCACTCAGGCTTCAGTAGCTGTGGCTCTTGGACTCTAGAGCACAGTCTCAATAGTTGTGATGCACGGGTTTAGCTGCTCAACAGCATGTGGGATTTTCTCAGATCAGGGATCTGACCCCATATCTTCTGCATTGGCAGGTGGATTCTTTACCAACTGAGCCACCAAGGAAGCCCCTTCACTGTATGAATTTTAGACTTAACTATCTATTTCCAGAGAAAAACCTGTTGGATTTTTTTTCTGGGAATGTGTTAGAGGTACAAATGAACTTTCAGAGAGCTGACATCTTTATAGTGTCAAGGTTTTCTATCCAAGAACATGTTCTCTGTCTTTGTTCAGATCTGCCTGTTTTGTATCCTTCAGAAATGCTTTCCAAGGTTTCCTTTATACCTTTTGTAAATCTCTTGCTAAGTTTATACCTAAGCAATAGATGAGAAAAAAAGCAGTGCTAACGGAATTGGAAAGGACCCTATAAAACCATCTTTATTTACAGATGATAAGATGATATCCCTTAAAACACAAGAGAATCAACTTCAACAAACTTTAAGAGAATTCAGTGATATGGTCAGGTATCAAATTAACAAGTAAAAATCAGTTGTTTTCATGTATACTTCAACAACCAAGTAAAAGATATAAGGAAAAGCAAACCACATTAATAGTTGTAACAATATAGATAAAATACTATTCTGGACATGGGCATAAGACAATAAAAAAAAAAGTCCTGTCTTCAGGGAGCTTATAATTTAGTGGGAACTAGAGTTCCTGAGATTTTGATTAAGAAAATATCTTTTTTAAAAAAACCTTTATATTTAGTTGATAGTTGGCTATGTAGAAAATTCTTAGGCCATACTGTCTTCTCTAGAGGTTTTATAGACAGTTTCCTGAAGACTTTAGATAGTCCTCTACTGCTTCTTGGATTTGAGTGTTGCTTGGAGAAATCTGAAGCCTGATTGTTTTCCTTCATACATGACTTGATTTGTTTGTCTGGATGCCCATAGGTTTTTTTTCTTTAAAGCTTTAGAACTTTATGAGGCTTATTGATCAGTCAATATCAGTTTTTCCTTTCAGCTTGTATATTCATATTTTTTGGTTCTTGTAGTGTCATATAGATCTGAATAACTGTCATTCCTCATCTTTGAATAAGGATATTTTCTGCTGGACCCACTGTTTACTGACGAAGTATTGGAGATTGTCTAGAAAAATAGTCTGAGCTAGTAGGAAGCCTCTGTTGCTTGTATCGACTTCCTCTGTCATACAGAGTTTTGCGTTAAGAGTTGGTTTGCCCTTTACTTCTTCTGAATCAGAGATTATCAGTTGCATGCTTTCTCTAACACTCAGTTTCTCTTCTACCTTCCTATGTCAATATCCTGCTTATACAAGAATAATAGCTATTTGCATCTCTGCAGAATTTGCATCTATTTAGCTCTGTCTTTCCTACCTTTTGACAGGGCCAGAACAAGATGATTATGTTCCACCAGGCAGTCTTAACACATCCAGATTCCATTGTTGTGAAAAATGACTCATTCATTCTGTCCACAGAGTGTGCCTTCTGTTTTGGAGAACTGTTCACTGTGCTTTCTATCTGAGACAAGAAATAACAGCCACTGTCTCTTAGTTTCTTTCCCACCTATTTCTGTCTATCCTCTGACTTTCCTTATACTTTGGAATTGGAGTTTATCTGCCTTTTGGTATAATTGAAGACATATTTCGTTTTCTGTTTATTCTTCATGTCTGCAGAGAGGAGAGAAGATAGAGATGTTTAATTCCACCATGTTGAAACAGGAGATTCTTTTCTGTATTTGATCCTATGGATCACCCTTCTTGGAAATGTCTTCTTTACTCTTCTCTATAGGATTCTGATTTCTCCTCCATTTGTTTATTTTTTTCTTATTCCCTTATGAACTGTGTTTTACATAATTCCTCTTCTCCAGCCCTCAAGAACATTATTGAAACTAGTTTTAAATTATATGTGGACTCCTTTTTCCTTTATGTATCTTCATGATGTAGATGTGTTCCTGCCTTCAAATCAGTATATAACTCCAGACTTTAAATTCATCCTCTTTTTTTTTCAGCCCCACTCTTTTCCCTGCCTTTCAAGCACCTAAATCCTCCATTTGTGTGTGTGTGTGTGTGTGTGTGTGTGTGTGTGTATGTGTTTGTGCTGCATGGCATGCAGGATCTTAGTTCCCTGACCAGGGATCGAACTTGCACCCCCTGCAGTGGAAGTACAGAGTCTTAACCACTGAACTGCCAGGGAAGTCCCCCCACTGTAGCAAATTTCTGAAATGTTATCAATAGAGCAGTAGGAGAAATATTCGAAAGTAATAATTTTTGGTCCTCCATTTTAGAAGTTTGGAAAGTTGATGAGCAGATCAAGAAGCAACAGGAAACCCTTGTGAGGAATATCACATCCATCTCCAAGAAAACTCTGATTAAGGAAAATGTCCTTGAATATAAAAATGTTGCAAAAGTATTTCCTCTGGACTCAGACATTGTTACTTCAAGACAAAAGTTCTATGAATGTGACTCACTTGATAAGGATTTTGAACATAGTTTAGACTTATTTAGTTATGAGAAAGGCTTTATGAAAAAGAAAAGTTATGAATGTAATAAGTATGGGAAACCATTTTACCATTGCTCATCCCATGTCATAACCCCCTTTAAGTGTAATCAATGTGGACAGGACTTTAATCATAGATTTGACCTCATCAGACATGAGAGAACTCATGCTGGAGAGAAACCCTATGAATGTAAGGAATGTGGAAAAGCTTTCAGTAGGAAGGAAAATCTTATTACACATCAAAAAATTCATACTGGGGAAAAACCATATAAGTGTAATGAATGTGGAAAAGCTTTCATTCAGATGTCAAACCTTATTAGACACCAGAGAATTCATACTGGAGAGAAACCTTATGCATGTAAGGATTGTTGGAAAGCCTTCAGTCAGAAATCAAATCTCATTGAACATGAGAGAATTCATACTGGAGAAAAACCCTATGAATGTAGGGAATGTGGAAAAGCCTTCAGCCAGAAGCAAAATCTTATTGAGCATGAGAAAATTCATACTGGTGAGAAACCTTATGCATGTAATGAATGTGGTAGAGCTTTTTCTCGGATGTCATCTGTTAATCTACATATGAGAAGTCACACAGGGGAGAAACCCTATAAATGTAATAAATGTGGAAAAGCCTTCTCTCAATGCTCAGTATTTATTATACATATGAGAAGTCATACAGGTGAGAAACCCTATGTATGTAGTGAATGTGGAAAAGCATTCTCTCAAAGTTCATCCCTTACTGTACACATGAGAAATCATACAGCTGAGAAACCCTATGAATGTAATGAATGTGGAAAAGCCTTCAGCCGGAAAGAAAATCTTATTACACATCAGAAAATTCATACTGGAGAAAAACCTTATGAATGTAATGAATGTGGGAAAGCTTTTATTCAGATGTCAAACCTCATCCGACACCAGAGAATTCATACTGGTGAAAAACCCTATGCATGTACAGTATGTGGGAAAGCCTTTAGTCAGAAATCAAATCTCACAGAACATGAAAAAATTCATACTGGAGAGAAACCCTATCATTGTAATCAATGTGGGAAAGCTTTTAGTCAGAGACAAAACCTCCTTGAACATGAAAAAATTCATACTGGAGAGAAACCATTTAAATGTAATGAGTGCGGTAAAGCTTTTTCTCGAATCTCATCCCTTACTCTTCATGTTAGAAGTCATACAGGGGAGAAACCGTATGAATGTAACAAATGTGGAAAAGCCTTCTCTCAATGCTCATTACTTATTATACATATGAGGATTCACACTGGTGAGAAACCCTATGAATGTAATGAATGTGGAAAAGCATTCTCTCAAAGAGCATCCCTTTCTATACATAAGAGGGGTCATACAGGTGAGAAACGCCGAGTGTATTAAATGAATAAGACTTTCTTTTAAATTCAACCCAAGCTTTACTTAACTTTAAGATATCTTGGCATAATCTTAAAAAATGTGCAAGATTCTTATGAAAAAATTGTAAAGCTTTATTGAAAGGCAAAAGATTTGAGTAAACGAGAGAATGTAGATGGAAAAACCCAATGTTATAAAATGTCTGTTCTTCCCAACTTAATCTATAGACCTACTAGAGTTCCAAACATCTAACAGGAATTTTTTAGGATCTTTATAAAATGATTCTAAACCTCATATGAAATAAAAGTCTATGGATTGCTGAGATAATACTGAAAAAGAACAGAGAGGACATACCTTCTACCATATACTACATGTATAGTGAAGTTATGGTCATTTAATAGTGTGTAATATTAGTACATTAATAGATAGGTAGAAAAGTTTTACAGAATAAAATGCCTAGAAATAAACCTGTGAATATATACGAACTTGTTGTGTATTAGGCATGACATCATGAATCAGTAGGAGGAATAGCCTAGTCAATGAAAATAGTTGGAGTACTTGAATCTCCATACTGGGGAAAATAAAATTACATACAACCTTGCAACATATAAAGAAACAGAATTCCAGAGGATTTGAAATGCGAACAACCAAACTCTGAACTTCTTGGAAGGAAATAACAGGATGTTGTTTGTGACTTTGAGGCAGGGAAACATTTTTTAAAAGGACCCTGTAGTTTCTCTTCTGGATGTACATCCTAAAGAAATTCACAACTATGCATAAGAAATATATATTATCTGAATAGAAAACAACCTATATATTGAGGGGATAATAGATAAATAAAATGTGATACTAAAATAATGGAATAGTATACAGCACTTAAAAGTAATGAACTTGGTCTATATTGTGTAACATGGGTTGTTACCTAAAATAGTGTTGAGTGGAAAAAAATTAAGATCTAGATGGAACATACTGTAAAATAACATTCATGTAAATTGGAGTGAAATCATTCACAAAGAATAGAACTATGTTTTTATTACTGAAATATGTATGTAAAACTATTTTAAATGGATTAAAAAGAACACATATCAAATTATTGATAGTGTTGTCTCTGGCAAGAGATTAGGATTCAGGGTATTGATCGAAGGGGGCTTTTAGCTTTACTTGTAATTTTTATGCCTTAAAAAGAGATGAATAGCATATAAAATAAATCTTAAAAGTTAATGATACATGATGGTGATATGGATGTCTTAATTTTGTTTTTGTACTTCACAGAATTTATGGGTTAGGGGATGACTATGCATAGAGGAAAGTGTTATAATAGATTCATGTGCTCTATCAGATGCTGAACTGTTTTATCAAAAATATTTCCAGAAAATTAGTAATTAAAAGTGATAATCCTGTTTACTATTTAATATGAAATTAGCATGTCTCATCAGTCTTGTGCTTTTTTTTCACATTCTTTATTTAGGACTTAATTTTCAACCAATTATATCTTAGATTCAAGAAGCATGTAATTATTTGTTACAAATTTGAAAATCAGAGGGCAATGTGACAAATCAAATATGATTTTTATTTAGAATTTTAGGGTATCATGATCTAATGATCCCTACTCTCTCAGTGTGTCTTGTTTTATTTGACAACTTGTTGGATTCATAACTAATGAGTTAGTAATATGATTAGAGTCATTATGGAGAGAAAAAAATTCTTGAGAAACTAACTCTACAATATTAGTCTTCTTACTCTGTACATTTCCATACAACCAGCATAAGCATTAATATAATCATTAATTATTACAATATTTTGAAACAAGAAAACCTTTTTTCTTGAGATAGCCTTAAGCAATTATGTAAAATTGCTTCACTCTTAACCTATAGATCATTTTATTTCTTCTACAACCCTTGATTTATGTACCTATATCTAGTTTTGGTTGAAAGCAGTGTATGGTCTAAGACCCTGAGCAGTAATAACAGTTCCTCTGAAAGGATCTCATTCTCTGTTAAACAATACATGAATCAGCCCTTCAGATTTTTTTTTTATTGTACCATCTCTGCAGTATTATTTGATGCACAGAAAACCATTATTGTCTTTTTAAAAAGGTGATTATGATTTGGAATATTGTTCAAAAGGAATCTTTTAGCTTTGAATGTTTGAATGTCAGTTTCATTTATTTGAAACTAATTTTACAAAATTAAATCATTATCAGACTAAATTTATGAAGTACAAGCATGACTAAGCTCAGTTTTACTTCAATTAGTCATTTTTGAAGATTGACAGTGACTTAGAATTATAAATAGCAGGCACTGATATTTATGAAATCAGCAGTTTCCCAAAACTTAAATATCTAGATGTGTTGTCACTTCATAATCTCTTCTTTCATGGGTTTTGTGGTAAGTCCAATTTTGCAAGCACACTTTTTTGTAGACTTTTTAAAATGTACTTTTCAAAGTTCATGTTTTACACATACAACAAAATCTGTGTAAATATTTTTAGTTGCAAAATTTGGGGGGAGATCTAAACTTATTTTTCACTCTGATTTTCTGCTTCATGCTTCTTTATTTGGCTCATATCTCACTTTTTTTCTGTCCCATTCTTTACATAGCTTTGGAGTCAACAGAAATGTTTTAAATTTCCCTTACACTCATAACGACCACCTTAGGTGCCTTTTTAGCCTGTCCCACTAAGAGTGGCTGGGCTGATTGGGTGAGATATAGTGCCTGAGAGTAAACCTGAATCTCAAGTCTAGGAAGGCTGCTTTACTGTATGTCAACAAGAAGATGATCTTGTCTCTGTTAATTAATTTTTTTCCTATCCTGAAGAGTAGAAATAAGGTCTAAGTGATTGAGATAACATATAAAAAAATCAGTCAAATCACAATAAATCCCTCTCCACTTGGATACACGTGAACTGTTACTGCCTGATAATTTCCATTCTAGATTTCAGACTTAATTTGAAGTTACTGATATGAAAGATAAGGAAAAGAGAGATAAAGGAAAACTACAATTTTGTGGACAGCACCAGCTGGATGGTCACCAGTTGCTAAAAATGCAGCAGACTAAGGAGAAATGTTTGGGAGTAAAGGTAGGAGGATGGAATTGAGTCATATTGTGGACATTCTTTTACCTATAATTTGCCCGAGTCAGATCTTGAGCTAAGAATTCCTACACAAGTGATTTATTAAGGAAGTGCTCCCAGAAAGAGTGGGAAAGGCATGAAGGAAGCGGGACAGGAAAGAAGTGAAGGGCGTCATCTCCAGCTGTAGTCCTGCCATCTGTCATTTCAGCCAGATCACTAAGGGCATTCTAGAATGTAAGCTCTGCCTTATACTCCCCTCTCTCTTTGCTAACTGCTGAAAATCTTTGACTGCTGACAACTCACCACTGAGTTCCTCTGTAAGAATTGCCCTTGGATGAAGAGAGCTGCATCATGCATGGCTACACTGCCTCCCCAAGAGCAATTTAGAGCAAGTGCGATCGCTTCTCGGCCTTTTGGCTAAGATCGAGTGTGGAGCAAGTGCGAAGAGCCATCCCAGTCCTAGAGTTCCCTGAGAGTTTGCAGCTCTGTCACAGGTCAGCTTCACCATCCACCCAGTTCTGGTTCATTCAGATTCTGTCTCCCAGGGAACCTGACCTAAGATGGGGACATTTTGCAACAGCAAGTCTCAAACTGAAACAAAAATTTTAAATTCATTTATAAATAAACTCATCACATGTTAACATAACATTTTATTAAAAGTATATTTGAAAAACAATGACAACTGCAATATTATATAATTTTTCAAATACCTTTAATAGCTTAATGAAAGAGTTGGGTTCTCATCTCTGCATTCATTCTGTAGAAATGTTGCATGTTACATAGACCAGGAAACTACTCTCAGGAGAGAATGAAAGTGAAAAAGGAAAAAAGTTCTTGAAATTACTATGAAAATAATTTTGACCTAAGAGACCCCTGAGGATTCTCCAACCATTCTTTAAGAACCGCTGTTTGACATTTGGCCTGGTCTCTTCAAAAACTCATTGTTAAAAGACTAAAGGGATGTGAAGGGAGGAGGACTGAGGAGGGGTATTGGCATGCTATTTAGTAACATAAGTAGTCCTAGATGGAGGATTTCAGAAACAAGAATAGTGGGCAAAGAAACTGTTAAAATGGGAGTTCAGTTCAGTTCAGTCGCTCAGTCGTGTCCGACTCTGCGACCCCATGAATTGCAGCATGCCAGGCCTCCCTATCCATCACCAACTCCCGGAGTTTACTCAATCTCATGTCCATCAAGTCGGTGATGCCATCCAGCCATCTCATCCTCTGTCGTCCCCTTCTCCTCCTGCCCCCAATCCCTCCCAGCATCAGGGTCTTTTCCAATGAGTCAGCTCTTCGCATGAGGTGGCCAAAGTATTGGAGTTTCAGCTTCAGCATCAGTCCTTCCAATGAACACCCAGGACTGATCAATCTCCTTTAGGATAAACTATTAGGAATACTTAAATGATAATTTTGATGCATTGCTGAAGGGGAGTGTGGATTAACTTGAATGTGAGAAGCTCTGGAGGCCCAGCTTTAGAGAACCCCTGTACTACCATGGATTTTACTTCCAAGAACCCCACCAGATTCTCAAGGTGAAGATCTAAGAAACACCCCTGCCCCTCATTTGTAGGCTGGGAATGGGCAAGCTTTTAGAAATACACACAATGTTCTCCATAACAAAGGCCTGCTCTCCTAGTCGAATTAGACTACAAGAACCTCATCTCCTTGAGGGAAGGGCAACTAGCCAGTGCCAGCTCACTCTAATCTTCCTGTCTCACTGAAAGGGAGAAGGGACAAAAAGGCGGAGAAACACTTCCAAAGTATTCAGATGCATTAAAAAATGAGATTTTAAATATAAGATTATAGAATGCTCCCCATCCCCCATACCTCAGCACCACCTTGATAGGGCTCCTGTACAATAACAGTGGATTGCAATGGAAAGAGCCACAATATACAGACTTGATTTAAGGAGGAGATATATGGAAACCCAAA